TGTGACGGATATGGTTTAATTATAGCTGATTATCAGTAGCTCCTGAATTTGTCACTATGCCCTACGATGCATTTCTCTTCCTTCTAAATCTGCAGGGGCTGATGATGGAATGGTAATTGGACTGGAGAATTTATCATCTCATATGGATTCTCTTGCCTTGACAGAAATGGAGTGGAATGCAGTCAATCAAGTAGAGTCGTCAACAGTTGTCAAGAACGAGTCAAAGCACCAACCCTTCCAAAACCCAGACTCTGAAATCAATTTGAAGTCTGATGGTGAGATCTCTTCTTTGGCAAAAAGAACTACTATTGTACAAGATCAGATACATCATTTAAGAAACTTTTTGGGGCAACCCGTCACTCAATCTTCAGTTGTGGGGTCATCGTGTGCTACCACAACATTATCCATTCCAGTTCAGCTCCAATGCTAAACCCGACAACTTACTGTTCTTGTTCCCATGAAGGAGTTTCTCAAGTCTCAAAAGAACCCCTGGGAGATTTTGATGCGAATCTTCAATTTCTAAATCAAGGGAATGTGTTGCAGCAAGAATTCCCTTCAGAGAAGGAAATGAGCAGAATGCTAGCTGATCAAGAAGCTCAGGCTTCTACCTCTGGTAATAGTTCCCAACTGGAGGTCAATGAACTTGACTTGTCCAAAAGGCAAGAAGGAATCTTGGTGACCCGAAATGAACTTCCAAAAGATTCTTGTCCTCAGAATGATAAGTCAATCAAAGGGCAAAAATCTATAGGTGGTGTTACTAATATACGATCTCAATCTCCATTGTCAAAAGACTTGAATTCAGATGTAAAGTTAGTGCCTTCTAAAGCAGAGAAGCAAGGGAAGGTTACAAGTAGTAAAGGAACATCAGCACCTCGTAAACGGAATTATGATCCTGACTTGTTTTTCAAAGTTAATGGAAAGCTGTACCAAAGGCTTGGTAAGATAGGTAGTGGAGGAAGCAGTGAGGTCCACAAAGTCATTTCATCAGATTGTACAATATATGCACTCAAGAAAATCAAGCTCAAAGGTCGTGACTATGCTAGTGCATATGGGTTTTGTCAGGAAATCGAATATTTAAACAGGTTGAAGGGAAAGAACAACATTATCAACTTAATAGACTATGAGGTACCTCCTTCCACCCAACAGCACAAACTGTTAAACAATCATGCTGGTCAATGTTTCATGCTAAACTAAAATGTTTTTACGAGGGGCTTTAACTCTTTACTCTATGGTGTAGTGGCTAGTGATATTGTGGGGAAAATTGAGTGGTTGATTTTGCAGACTAATTTCATATGTTATGGAACTTATCTGTCTTGTTTTCTACAGTTATGATTATTTGGAAAGTTTTATGGTCGTTGAAGTTGTTTGCTTGATATGTTCTCAGGATGGTGGGGACCCTGGAGGGGGTCTGTCACCACTGAGATAAGTTTTATAACTCATAGGGTCAAGTGTTCCACAGTGACCATAGTAAAAATTTCTTATAGCACCCTTGCTTGTAAAAGTAGATCTTGTTTGGCAAGAATGCTTATCATTTGTACTTTTTTTCTTTAATGATAAATGACTTGAACGTTGATGTTATATCTTGTCCGCTTTCTTGTTGATAGTAGTCGTTCTTGATATTAGGTGACAGATAAGAATCTGCTCCGAGAAGTGATGAATGGCTGCATGTCAAATAAAGATGGCAGAGTCAAGGATGATGGCTATCTATACATGGTACTCGAATATGGAGAAATTGATTTGGCTCACATGCTATCCCAGAAATGGAAGGAAATGAATAGCTCTAATCAGACTATAGATGAGAACTGGCTTCGATTTTACTGGCAGGTTTTAAAGCTATCCCTTACTTTGAATCTGTGTTGGTCTTTGCTAATGATATCGATAACTTTTTCAAATTATATTTAGTAATTCTAAGAGCATTTTAAAGCTAATTTGAAACTTGATAGTTGTTATCATTCATGCCGGGCTTCTCTAATGGCAATCCACCTAAATAACCATTTCTATGTCGAGGCTAACCATTTAGCCTGGTTGTCTCCTTTTCTCTGTGTTTGCTTATTTAACGTTCCCTTTAATTTTGTTGGCTATTTCCCCGCTTCTTATTTGGGGCATACAAATTCTCTCTTTTTTAAGTTCACCCCATTTATCTTTGATATTTTTCCTGCAAACTTATAGCCGACGAGCACATGAGATAAGGTGATTTTTCTCTTTCGGTTTTTAAGTTCCATACAGTCCAGAAAGCTGAAGTTTGATCTAATGAGGATTCTGAAAAACAACTTATTTACTTTGGTAAAAATTGAGATTTTGCAGGATAAAGTTTTGAAGCTCTAAATTCAAATTTCTAAAAAGGAATTGCAACGAGGAGTTGATAGACAAAATCAATAAAGTGTTTAAACATGCAAAAATATGTTTAGTTGTCTCAAATAAACTTGATACGATAATACAAGTTAAGTGCTTACTGTGATAACATTTTCCTGCATTCAATAGTTTTCAAAATACTACTGCTTATTTATATAACCAAGGGCATCAAGGGGAAAACTAGTAAATTCAGTAAGGACAGGCATAGAGGAGAATGAAAATTATATGTAGGGCAAGTGGGCAAAATTTTGCAGAGGTCCCTGCATAGCAGGTTCTAGAGAAGGTGAGTGAGCAAGCAACACTGCTGAGACAGGTGAGTGTTAGATTTGGATTCCATGCCCTTGTTTTCAGTTGCATCTGTTTTGGCTGCTTGAATTGGTGACTTCATGTCATAATGGAAACCTACCATTGTTCCAAGGGTCACTTTAAGAAAAATCTAGGAGTTCTTTCCCAATTAATATTTCTATACTTTCAGAAAAAATGAAAGCAAAATATTAGTACAAGTTAGATATTTATGCTCCTATAGTCATAATCCTCAATATGTTTACCTTTTTTAAAATTGTGTACCATTCATGAGTCTTAGCTTCATCTTACATAATTAATTTTATGTAAAAAAGTTGAATATTCACTTTAGTTTGGTGAGCAATTTGCAGCAAATACTTCAAGCTGTAACACTATACATGAGGAACGTATCGTGCACTCCGACTTAAAGCCTGCTAATTTTCTTCTTGTCAAAGGCTCTCTAAAACTTATTGATTTTGGTATTGCCAAAGCCATAATGAGCGATACAACCAACATCCAAAGGGATTCACAGGTATTCAATACTCGATTGTTTCTCTTCAAATTCAGATTTAGCCTTCTATCACTTTTATCAATCAACATTTAAACCTTCTTTGTCGCTTTGGTAGTTAATGCACTTTCATTTTATTCAATCAACATCTAAAACTACGAATGCAGGTGGGAACTCTGAGTTACATGTCGCCTGAGGCATTCATGTGCAATGAGAGTGATGCAAACGGAAATACGATAAAATGTGGCCGACCTTCTGATATATGGTCCCTTGGGTGCATACTTTATCAAATGGTTTATGGGAGGACTCCATTTGCGGAATACAAGACCTTCTGGTCCAAGTTCAAAGTTATAACCGACCCAAACCACACGATCATATATGAACCGATTTCTAACCCATGGCTTCTTGATATCATGAAGAAATGTCTTGCATGGGACCGTAACAAGAGGTGGCGGATTCCTGAGCTACTTCAACACCCTTTTCTTGTTCCCCCAGCCCCTTCCCAACCATCTTTGGCTCAAGACCAAAGCTTTCAACTGATTGAACTTATAGCCAATTCATGTTCAAACAATCAAGATGCTTCGATGTTGTGCTCTCAGCTCACTCAGCTACTTCGAGAACCGATATCACAGGTAACATCACGAGAACAACAATGCAAATTGCTCTCTCAAATGTCAAAGCTATGTTTTCAGCTCCAACAACATCTAAGCCGGTCAGGGTAAAAGTTTGTAGAAAAGTGATTATGCTTGCCACAACATTTTTTTTTTCGTGTTGCAATTGTGGGATGCCAAAATTGAGCTCAATTTAGGCGGCTTTGTAATAATATGTAAAAATTTAACATTTGTGGTGTCCGTGTTGAAAACATTAACCTTTAGAGATTTCATGAATGTATCTGCTCAAACTTCCTGTTTTACAATTTAAAAATATGATTAACAGAGTGGTATTTTGTTAAGAGTATGCTAAAAATTTGGGACATAAAATCATTGGGAAAATGAAAAATATTATCCGAAAATATTTTTTTATCAAGAAAAATCATAAAATAAAATAAAAATCTTACGATCTAAAGTTAAAAGGCTTAATATAAAAGCCTCTAAATTATATCTATTTTTTTATGTAGGTGTTTAATGTTATAAAAATTTATCATTTAGGTGTAATATTGTCACAATCGTTAAAATAATTTGTTATTTATCATATATCTTGTTTATAAAATTTTGAATTTTTTTATTTAGAGTAAATTTAAAATTATATTTTTTTAAAAAAGAAACCCAAAAAAATTAAATCTATTTTTTTATTTTTTTTAATCTTAATTCGAACCCCTTTACCCATACTACTTGTTGTCCTTTGTCGCAATTGTCATCGATGAACAACCGCTCAACCGAACCTCCAACGTCATTGTTGTTACTATCAGCTGAATTTTAAAAATAAAATCTCTCAACTCTAAAAACTTAAATCCATAATCATCCTAGCGACCGACGACAAGGAAGATCAACAAGGACGGCATCAGTTCACAAAGAAGATGGTAAGGGAGAATGAATTTAGGATAAGGAATTTATGTTTTTTTTATAATTTGAAAAAATAAGAGATTTATAATATAATAATATTTAAAAATAATTTAAATAAAATTTTTAAAATTTTATAAACATGACATATGTTTTAATATTTTTTTAATGTTTGTTACGAAATCAAAAAAAAATTAGATATTTAAATAAGAAAAGATGTACAATTTGAGAAAAGTTTGTATTAAGCCAAAAATAAAAACTAAAAGTAACCTAAAATTGATAAATTATGTAAAAAAGTTAAAATTAACCCAACCTAACCGTGTGCCCCTCCTTTTCATTGTTTCTTCCGTCCGGGATAACCTCTCAACCGTCAGAACTAAACGTCACTAAATACTCGTCTTTGACTTCACTTCGCCATAAGCTGATCCTGGATGTTAGTACAAAACAGCCGCTTCGGCTTCTTTTTCCCCGCCATTCAAAAGCGTATTCCTTCAAACCTTTCTTTCTCCGTTGCTTCCTTAGCCATGGATACGGCCTCGCCTTCTGCGCTGTTTTTATGCGGAAAATCATCAACGGAAACAGAAATTGCCAAATCATTGAGAATCAACGATGTTCTTAATCTACCAAACGGCGGTAAAATTTCAACTCATTTACAATCGGAGATTAATAGTTCCCGATTTGGTGAAGATGCTTTTAATGTCCAATTGTTTTTTAATTCACTCTCAACTAAACGGTTTGGTCGGTTCCTTATTTGGTCTCCTCTGTTGCCTTCCACGCATGACATCGTTTCTCAGTAAGCAAACCATTCATCTGCCGATAGAAAGAAAGAAAAACGAATTTAGTTGAATTATGGATTTTTTTAATGATAATGTCTGATTTTTAGTTTTTGAGCAGTAATTTTTGTGAACTTCCAGTTGGTGCAGTTTGTGTAGCTGATACTCAGTTTAAAGGGCGAGGTAAATTGTATTTATGAATGATTGAAATTTGAATTTCGGTTAATATGGTTTTGTAAAATGTTTAAGAGACTTTTTGCAGGTCGGTCCAAGAATGCGTGGGAGTCTCCTAGGGGATGCCTTATGTTTTCATTTACATTACAAATGGATGATGGAAAAATTGTGCCTCTGGTACAATATGTGGTGTCTCTTGCTGTGACAGAGGCTATAAAAGATGTTTATGATAGAAATGTACGCCTCTCTTCTTTCTCTTTTTTACCCATATGGATATATATTTTTTTACAATGCAATGGAGAGGTACCGGCTTTCTGGTCATTTGTTGGGCTAAAGAAATTATTAGGTTAGTTTCTTAGAGTATGGAAAGCAAAGTTAATGTTTGAATCTTTAAAATTCATTCCAGCAGGCAGAAAAAGTCCATAAAATTAAAAGATGAATGTCGCTGAAAAAGAAGGATATTTAGTCCATTATTTTTTATAAGTACCTGTCAAAGCTAAATCATGGAACTTTAATTGCCCTTATCATGCGTTGCAACTAGGAAAATGTTAATTTTCCTTTTGGTGTATGTCACTGGTACTTCAATAATTCAGATCGTGCACCATTGATATATTTCAAATTATTCTCTAGTGTAATTCTGAAGTTTTACTTCTTCACAAATGGTTTCAGGGATTCCCCTGTATTGATGTTAGGATCAAGTGGCCAAATGATCTGTACTTAAATGGCCTTAAAGTTGGAGGAATTCTTTGCACGTCAACTTACAAATCAAAGAAGTTCAATGTTAGCTCTGGTAAAATGACTCAATCCTTTGCGTGACAATATTGCAAATTCAATCGGACAACGTAAACTTCTGTCTGTTTGTTTAAAATTTAAATCCCTAGATTCAGTAGCAGAGCTGCTGACTAGTTATAAGCTTGGCGGTTGTGACCCTCAAAATTTCTTATAAGTTAATTTCTGTTTTTGAATTTCTCTTATAATTTCAAAAGTACATTGATTTTGACCCCCAGTAGTTCTTCTATGCCCTTGCACCTTTGAAGGCATTTCAATTAGGATCCTTACTTCTGCAACATGGCAAATTCTTGCTCCATTAGGGGGTATATTGATATTGACCAAGATCCCTTCTCTCTATTTGTTTAAAATTTAAATCCCTAGATTCAGTAGCAGAGCCGCTGACTAGTTAAAAGCTTAAAGGTTGTGACCCTCAAAATTTCTTAAAAGTTAATTTCTGTTTTTTTTGTAATTTTAATTTCTCTTATAATTTCAAAAGTACATTGATTTTGAACCCCAATAGTTCTTCTATGCCTTTGCACCTTTGAAGGCATTTCAATTAAGATCCTTCTCCAACATGGCAAATTCTGGCTCCATTAGGGGGTATATTGCTGATCAATTGAATCTTAACGTACAATCGAGAATAGCATATTGCTTGCCTTATTTTATTTATACAATTTATGTTCATGATGATGCTTACAAATCAATTGATGATCATGCAGGTATAGGTCTGAATGTTGGCAATGAGAAACCAACAACATGTTTGAATACAGTATTAAAAGAGCTTTATGCTAGTTCTAATGAATTTAGAAGAGAAGATGTCATGGCTGCCTTCTTTAATAAATTTGAGATGATGTATGATATTTTTATAAATCAAGGTGAGTCAATCTTTTGGTGCTCTCTACAGTGTCCTGGTATGTAAAACTACTATCTAGTATTTACTCTGTCGAGTTGGTCACTCTTATAAATGTACAATTTTCATACATGCTGAAACTATTTACATAAATTTCTGACAGACTGAAATGCTGGAAAATGCTTTTTTTTTTCTCTTTTTACTATTAATTCCTTAATTATAGGATTTGAAATTTGTCTGAGTTGTCTTTGGAGAATAAAAGCAGTTGCATCTTCCTGACTCTTACCTCCGTTAATTATGCATTACTGTTGCCCTTCTTTACATCCTCTGTCCTCTGATGCTCTGATAGCTCATTATTTAGAATGTACTCCTTCAGGAAATTTGTGTAAGCCCCAAAAATTTTCTTTTGTTATCGATACTTTGTCCACTGTTTTCTTTTCTCCTTTTTGTTTTCTGAAGAGGTTCTTTAATTTTCTAAATTGTGAAACCAATTGTTTAGGGTCTTCTTTTTTGACAAAACAATGGTGTTGTATTTTTTCTATCTGTTAATTGGATTCAATAGCTTTCGATACAATATTAAGTCCAAGTTTACTTTTGGGGGGGATATAACATGCAGGATTTCAAACTCTAGAGGAACTTTACTATCGAACATGGCTTCACAGGTAAATTCTCTTTTACCACTTTCATCTTTCAATACATGCACTTGGTCTGTTATGGAACTTTGTGGATTTAATAATTTAAAGTGTGATCTAGCTATGAGAGGGCTCTGGTTGTAGCAGTTCTGCACATAGTTGTTTCTTTTTGAAGATTAAAGTTAGGCTGTTGACTTATTGACCTCAATTTTTTTTATTGCTACAAACAATTGCCCCTGGCTGCATTAATATGAAGTCAAACATTTTTGTTGTCCTCATCTATGGTCATCAAAACCAGGATAGGTTGCCAGATGTTATGGTGTTCTTATTTGAATCTCAATGTCTTTAAATGTATATAATGGAGAAACCTTCAAGAAAGTGGTTTTCATGGATTGACATATCCAGAGAATAAAATTGAGGTCTGTTAGTCTTCCAGAGCTGTTAAATCATTAGAAGTTTGAGGAGGTTTCGTCATGTCATTTAGCTGACTCAATAATTTAATTGAACATGAACTGCCTATTCAACATGTGTGCCGGTGTGTGTATTTCCATAATGATCTTTTCTTATAAGCTTTAGTGTTCGTAACATGTTCTTCTTCTTAGTTGATGCAATCCAACTATGTTTGTGTCTCTCCTTTGTATTATGAACATAATTAACTGTAGTGAAACTTTTCTATCATCTATGTCGTGCCTGTATGCTGTAAAGTTTTCTTATTATAGGCGTGTGATTTTATTTTGAATTGGCTGTGCAGTGGACAGAGAGTTATTGTACAGGAAAAGAATGAGAATAAAGTTGTTGAAAACGTGGTTACAATACAGGTATGGTTCCATGTCTACTTGTGGGTATAGACATGAAAGAAGAAAATGGCAACGTTTCTGTTTCCATGACTTAATAGTCGTGTTCTTCGAGTAAATAATTTTCAATATCTGCAAACTTACCACATACATTTATTCCCATTCTTCTATTTGTAGTTTATATTTGCTAGTAATGATGATTGGAGAGAGTTATTCAAGACTCATTTTACTTGGTGAAATTTCGTTTACATATCTTTATGGTTGCAATAAACAATGCCATGAAAGAACATCTTCATTTTAGAGATTATGCTCGTAATAAAGTTTGTTTCTCTAGAGTTGGTTGTTGCCTTGTACACGTGTGGATCTTCTTTGTGTGGAAAGGGCATAGCCAATGATCTTGTGGTAAACATAGGGAGCTTGTTGTGTAAGCTAACTTGAATTACAATGTCTTATAAGTTACATGTACAAAGTATTTATCACTTACTTTTTGGCAGGGTTTGACAGCATCAGGATATTTGTTAGCTATTGGTGACGACAATCAAATGTGTGAGCTTCATCCCGATGGAAACAGGTATCTAGCTTCCACTGTTTTTCTTGCTAAAGTAGACTTATGAAGATAACATTAATACATTGCAGGGTTCAGCTCTACTTTATAGGTAGTGTCTAATTTAAACACCTCCAGGCACATACATATAGAAAACAAAAGATTAACATGGATCCTTGAAGCTTTAATGGATTCCTCTAAAACTGGATTCTGTGAGAACTTCAGAGGATACCTAGTTATTGACACTGCTATGTGCTATCCTCGTTCCTCGGTAATCAAAACAGAGAGACCATTTTAGCATCAAGGGTATTAGTGCTAAATAAGTAAGTAATATGACAAACTGAAAATTTTAGGATGTCTGTTTCGATTGATCTAAAGTAAAAGTTCCTTGAATATGATGTCAACAATCCAGACTTCTTGTGATGTTAAATGATTAAAACAATACATGTATACTCTCTCCTGAGGATTATAACCTTTTAACTACATATTTTAATCGATTTAAGAAGTTGGAAAATAATATATTTTGTTTTGCTGCATCCTGAGAGCAATAGATTCCCTTTGTTTCTGTTTTGTTTGAATATAAAACATTCCAAGGCACCGGTTTCATTGGCAGTAGTAGTTTCCATGTACTTTCACATGACAAATTCAAGCTGCTTATGATTTCCACATTCACTATAATATTGCCTTTGATTTGGCCTCAGTTTTGACTTCTTCAAAGGACTGGTCAGAAGAAAACTTGAATGAAGACCATGCCATTTTCGACCGGAGGCCAACTGTCACGTCGTAGCATGTACAGAGCTGATTTACTCAATCTTTTTTCTTTTAATTATTTCCAAATATTAAAATTTGATAGAATGAGATTTTGGTCAGACTTAAACAAGTTTTTCCTTCATTTATTCAGGTTAGATGTTCTTGGACACAAACTATTGAACAGAACTCATGAAATGTTTACTCCAGATATGCCCTGTGAATCAAGGCGTTATTTTAGAAATTGAGTCTCATCTTTGCGGCCTTGTTCTTTATGAGGATAAATCATATTAGTTATTATTTTCTCGATGCTGACAATACTGTTCCATATTGGTCTTAAAGTTTATATTTTTTATATAAATATATTTATATGTGTGCAATTCAGGTATATTCTTATTATATGTAGTATATGAAAAATATTTAAAAGATAAAAGGCAATCCTGAAATGGTATATCGAAACATATCAATATTAGTGTTAGAATAAATGTTTAAAGGAATTTTTTGATATTCTTGTATTTGGTATCATATATTTGTTATATTTTCTGTTTCGTGTCCGGCATTAGCAGCTATGATGCCTGGACAGTGTTCCTTGGGCCAAAAACAAAACTATTTGTTCTAAGTTTTTCTTATTTTTTGTGTGCTCTCTTTAGATATAAAGAGATTTTATATGATAAGTAATTTATCTTTCAAGATATTTTAAGTGTTTTTTTTTAATTTGGTAATAATTATTCTTTTTTAAAATTAATTTATTGATTATTTTTAAAAAAATAATTTTACTTGTGATAAATTGAAATTTTATGCAATATTAAAATTTTATTATTTGACTTATTTTGGATGTCAATTCTATATTATATTTTTAACATTTTGATTGAGTAATAATTTTAAAGCTGTTAATCCTTTAGAAAATTATGATTGAATGTATTTATAGTATTGAATTTATTAAATATTGATTAAAAATTAAACATTTTTTCTAAAAGAAATATTAAAGATAATGTGATTCTTGTTTGTTTTATGTTTGACGTGTTGCATTCTTGTGGGAACAAAAAAAAACTTGGCTTTTATTTTTTTGTCAAAGTTATAAATTGTATGTAAGCTTTATAGAAAATTGAGTTTAATTATATTTATTTATTTTAAATATTAAAAATATTGTGGATAATTGGAAAGATACATTAAAACTTTATATTAACACCTTAGGTCCTTAACAAGATGATACGAATCCTGACTGTTACATGTAAACTTCTAACAGGCGTATATAGTGATGGATAGAGGGAGAATGGATGGAGATTATCGTCATTTTAAAATTTTAATTTTTTTTATATAATTTTAATATTTTCGGTTAAAAATTTATTTTTGTTTCCTTTAAAATTTTATAACTTCACATTTTCTTAGAATTTTATAAGTTCACTCCTTAATGTAAAATCTTATGTCGACTCATATATATGCGTCTCTCATTATGTGCTGCTGCTGTTGTAGAAGTGGTATGCGCCACTGTCAACATGGTTTAGCGATTTGTGATTTGTCTTGTAGAACTTTTGACACTGAAAAACAAAACAAAAGAAAGAGGCACTTGATGATGCTCACAAATGTTTCTGCCTCTAATTCTATAACTTGATCTACTAATTAATTATCTAATATTAAAGCCCTTTTCTCCAAAACCAAACCTTTTCATTAATTTACTTTCTTTAATGATAAGGAAATCAGCATTCATAAATAATATGCCATATATGGACCAACTAAAAAGTAGTAACAATTAAGAGTCTATTTGTTTGTCGGCACTTGGTAGTCAATTATATTAATACAAGTGGTTGTTTGTTGCCCCAACTTTATCATATTTAAATTACTTCTTCAAATTAATGCTTTATGGGTGCATGATTCATAAATCTTTTAGGGGTCAAAATTAAGTAATCAGTTTTAATGGGTAAATGTAATTTTTTAATATTTTATTAGAAAATATAAAGAATTTTTCTCATTTTAGAAGGCTAAGATCATCCATCACATCACATGTCTCTTTGGTTTCATCCTTTGTATAGATGAAATAAAATAAAAAACTGTTATAATATTGACTTTGAATATTGTGAGTGAAAATTTTAATTTTAAAAACTGTTTTAAGTAGATAAAATATAATTTAATTTTACATATAATTCATGTCGATCTCATTTTAACGGTAAAAAAATAAATTTTAACATTTTTTCTTAAATTCAATGACAAATGTTGATAAAATAAAAAAATGAAATTAAAATTAAGATTTTTAGAAAATCTTAAGATTTAATGAGAATTTTAAAAAATAAAAATAAATTTAAATGAAATTATAGAAAGAAATTAAAATTTTACAAAAAAAAAATCTGGAAATTTAAATAATAAATTTTAAAAAAATGGAGTGTGAAGATTCTTATTTTATTATTATTGCTTAAACTTATTACTGCTTTATTTTATTATTATTTTGGTTAAATGAAATAAACGAATCTACCGAATTGCTCACCGTTGTGTTCTCTGGCTCTTCTGAGTGGGGGGTTACCCGCCCGAAGCTCCTGCCAACGGCTACCCCTGTCCTAAAAAAAGACCGTCCTTGTTTAGTAATAATATTTTTCAAACCGTCTCCGTCCACTAATTCTACTATCATCCACGTATATAGAAACAAACAAACAACTCTTCCGTCTCCACATTTTCCCACCATGTTATCCTTGACTTTAACCGTAACACCGCCGTGCTCCCTCGCCACGTCAGCTTTTACCGATCCCGGGATCCTCCAAACACTTCATTTCTTTTTTTGATTAACAATTAAATCACGCGCTTTCTTTCGTTCTTTCTTTTTTTTAAATATTTGGAACCACCGTACCTGAGCCGGTCTTAAACCACTTTCTCACGACGTTGTCTTCATGGATCATCCTGAGAAAAAACCTTCCTCGTCCTCTTCCGCTTCGACATTCCGATCCAAATCGGCCCGATTCTTGGATCAAAGCCAGCGGCCTCGCTATCATCGTAGCAGTAGCGCGAATCATAATCGGATGAGCCGGAGGAATGGCATGCATTCAGGGAAAGAGGCCACCACGGCTATCGCTGCTTTGCCTCTGGTGGATGTGAAGCTAAACAACATTGTAGGGAACGGGATATCCGGAGTGCTTTACAAATGGGTGAATTACGGGAAAGGTTGGAAACCGAGGTGGTTCGTTTTACAAGACGGAGTGCTATCGTATTATAAACTCAACGGACCGGATAAGATTACCGTCAGCCAAGAAACGGAAAAAGGGTGCAAAGTTATAGGCGACGAGTCTCTCCGTATTATCACCGGCCGTCGCAAACTCATTCCGCAGCATTCTCTAGGCCGTCGCAAACCATTCGGTGAAGTCCACCTAAAGGTCGATACAAAGAAAATATTGATTAACTAAAAGTAAATGTATGAAAATATAAGCAAAATTGAATTGATTTTTGAATTCTTGCAAATTTTCTCAGGTTTCCTCGATCCAAGAAAGTAAATCAGATGATAAGAGGTTCTCGATTTACACCGGAACGAAAATGCTTCATTTACGAGCCGAGACACGGGACGATCGGGCTGCGTGGATGGAAGCACTTCAGGCGGTTAAGGATTTGTTTCCTAGGATACCCAATAGCGTGCTCATGGCACAGGTTAACGATACGGTGGTTTCCACGGAGAAGTTGAGGCAACGGCTGGTGCAGGAAGGGGTTAGCGAATTGGCTATCCAAGAGAGCGAGCAGATTATGAGGACGGAATTCTCAGCATTGCAGAAGCAGCTGCTTTTGCTTAAGCAGAAACAGGGTCTTCTCATCGAGACCTTGCGTCAGTTAGAGGTATATGTCACCAAAGTAGGAAGAACAAAAAATAAATAAATAAATTTGCTTCTTTCAGTGGCATTCAATTTAAAAACTGGATTGATTGTTTTAGAAACAATTACATCAATTCGTTATGCTTTTTCTTATTATTCTTTTGTTTAGAAATTATGGGATTAAAAAAATGGGTGTGATTTTTAGGATACACTGGTATTTAAAGGCTTTCAGTTAGAGAAGGGTTAGTTGATGTAGGACTTCTATTAGGTTAAAACTGAATTATATTTCCAGAGAAATTTCATAAATATTTGTAAGCTTGAACAATTATGTCATCTTCCATTTGATATTCCATTTCCTTTAATTTCATGTGATAGTATAGGAAAGCAGCTGGTCTACATTGAATTGGCTACTTATTTTCAGTATGTAACTGCTTGTATCGCTAAAGATTAACATCTGAAACAAAGATTTTCTTCTTTTCGCAGTTTTCGTCTAAGAAATTGCTTTTGGCTTCCTATTTTGCAGACAGAAAAAGTTGATTTGGAAAATACAGTGGTCAGTGAGAGCCAAAGCAGGTGGAATCATGTGGCTTCCACTGTGATAAAGCAAGATAAATCTAGTGGTAAGGTATTTGGCAGTAAAACTATTTATTACAACTGATGGTTCTGTAAGCCAGTTTATGCTGGACCGTTCATTATATGTTAAGATAGGTCGTTGGTTCTTATAATCAATTTTCAAAGTTTGTTATTAGATAGGAGTTTATTTTCTGTTCTCTCGTCAATGTGCCTGAGTATTAATATTACCTGTACTTAACTTATAACGCTTGTTAAGCAGATGTTCGTATATTATCTTGATGCAATTTTTATGTATGGAATACTTGCACTTGCCAACTTGAATTCAAGTAAAGGTCTCCCTTCTTTACAGTACTGAACCATTAGATCATGTTTGTCTATTGCTCATCCATTTTATTGCTTATTATGTTTTCCATTTGATTAGTACAATAATTGTTCATATGCTGATTGCTTGATATATAAACTGCTTGCTGTCTTCTTTGGTTTCATTTGAATTCAAATCACTGTCATTACTTTCTGTTCGTATCAGTGTTATCTTAGATTGATATCATTTTTTTTCTTTTTATTCAGAAGGACATACTACTGACTCAGATGATGATAACGAAATAGTTGATGCAGCAGAAGAGGAAACTGATGAAGATGACCATCATTTCTTTGATACTTACGAGTTTTTATCATCAAGTTCCTTCAAAGAAAACGGATCTGATGTTCGGACATCTTTATCTTCAGATGCTGAAGGCCTTAATACTCTTGGTTCTGAAGATGACATTGATCCTGCTATTAAATCAGTTGGAAGTAACTTTCCTTGCATTGAACGACGAACAAAGTTGCCTGACCCAGTTGAAAAGGAGAAGGGTGTAAGTCTTTGGTCAATTATCAAGGATAATATTGGGAAAGACCTTACAAAAGTTTGTCTTCCTGTTTACTTCAATGAGCCTATCTCTTCTCTTCAAAAGTGTTTTGAGGATTTGGAATATTCATATCTACTTGACCGTGCAAATGAATGGGGGA